TTGAGTATCTTTTCAAAGAATGAGCTCTTATGTTTCATTGATCTTTTCTGTTTTTCTATTGAGTCTCGATTTCATTTATTTTTACTCTGATCTTTATTATTTTCTTCCTTCTACTAATTTGTTGTTGTTGTTGTTGTTGTTGTTCTTTTTCTGGTTCCTTCAGGCATAAGGTTTGATTGTTTATTTGAGATTTTTCTTGTTTCATGAGATAGGCCTATATGACTATATACTTCCTTCTTAGAACTGCTTTTGCTGCATCACAAAGATTTTGAACCTTTATGTCTTCAGGGTATGAGCCAAGAGATGAAGGTACTAAGAGTGGGTGGAGAGCTTCAGCTCTGGTAGAGTTGCAACAGAAGCCTCAGCCAATGCCATGTAGAGTTCTACAGCCACATGGTTCTTTAGGTTTGTCCCAAATGGAAACAGGGCAGCGAGTCTTTGTCCCCACATCTACTGGTTATTCGGGGCCATCCCTGGCAAGTGTATAATCTTCGATGAGATCTCTTCATGAGTCAGGAAAGAATAAATATCTCTCTGGGGCACTTGGGTGGCTCAGTCAGTGAAGCATCTGCCTTCAGCTCAGGTCATGATCCCAGCATCATGGGATCGAGTCCCGCATCAGGTTCCTTGGTCAATGGGGAGTCTGCTTCTCCCTCTGCCTGCTGCTTCCCTTGCTTGTGCTCTTTCTCTGGCAAATAAATAAAATCTTAAAAAAACATAAAAAAGAATAAAGATCTCCAAAGAAGGGACCTGGGCTGTGCCTCATAATATCCACTACAGCTCATGTGTGTTATTCATTTAATATAGTCTCAGATATGATATAGAAGTGTTTTATTAGGATTCTTATAGTTAGTCATTAGTACTCCACAATATGCGGAGTACCTGTGCCCAGGTAATTCCAGCTTTCTAAACTAATACAGAGTACAGAAAATGAGAGAACCATCCATTTTAATTATTTGATGATATAACAGAGAAGTTTACTATTTCTTAATATTTAAAGGAACTCACTTGAATTCATCTGAATCTTTGTCAGGGCATAAATCATGGTTTTTGGAACACACATATTTTCTTCTTTACATCTTGGTCATAGTCATTTTTTGTTTTCCTGGAGTATCATTTTCTTTCAGAGGTTTTAAGTTTTAGGGAATAAATGATAAGAATACAGTATTATAAAGCAAAGAAGATGAATGATTTGTCAATTAGCCGTGCCCTTTCCACCTCTCCCTTTTCTTGGTCTCCTTTATGGAATTTGAGTTGCTGTCTGTGCTTCTATAGGACCTCTCTGGGTATAGCAGAAAGACCATTGCTTATGGCTTTTCCCTGGTTAGGAGGCTTCAGATGTCCTAAGGGTGTCAGCCCTCCCCTGTCAGGTGAGCCCTCAGCACTCATGGCTCTATTCTTCAGGGAAAGACCATACTCCTTGGGCGGTCTCCGTGTTCTGAATGCAGAGTATGTACCTTTAACTCTCTGCTCATTCTTTTTCTTTCTTTCTTTCTTTTTTTTTTTTTTAAAGATTTTATTTATTTATTTGACAGAGATCACAAGTAGGCAGAGAGTCAGGCAGAGAGAGAGGGGGAAGCAGGCTCCCTGTGGAGCAGAGAGCCCGATGCGGGGCTCGATCCCAGGACCCTGAGACCATGACCCGAGCCGAAGACAGAGGCTTTAACCCACTGAGCCACCCAGGCGCCCCTCTGCTCTTTCTTTTTCAAAAGGCCAATTCATTTATTCAGCTCAGGTGGGTATTTACCAAGCACTTACCTTACATTAGGCTCTAATTCAAAGCCACGAGCAAAGCAGACACCAGTTCCTCCCCTCAGCCCACTGATGTTATGGATAAGGAGTCAGAAGGTAAATCACTTAGGTAAAGAAGACGCTAGTGCTTCCTCATGCTGTGGAGAAAAGTGAAGTGGGCACAAAGAGTAAGAATTTGTGGGGGGGTGGCAGAAATGGATAACAGAAGAAGGCAGCCAGGTTGGAAGGAAACTAATGCCGGGAGTAGGAGGAGGCCGTCAGATCCGCAAGGAAATGGGGTGGTGTTGCTTTATAGGTCCTTGGAGGACTTGGACTTTGACTCTGCGTGAAATGGGGACCTTGGAGGATTTTGAGCAGAGGGGAGTCATGATCTATTATACTGTTTACCAGGTTCATTCTGGCTGCTGTGCTGAGAATCGGCCAGCGGGGTCCAGGGCAGAAAGCAGTTAGGGAGCTGAAAGGTCCGTGCTTCAGATGACTATCTCTGCAGACAGTTTGGCTTGTTTTTCTCTCCTGTATGTTGTTAATCTTCTAGCGTCTCCCTGCTTTTTTATTGACAAAATGCTCAGATCTAGATCTACCGTTCACCTCTGGCAAGACTAGAGGACCTTGGGCTGCTGCATTCCCTGTTTCCTACCCTTATTTCCATACAGCTCCATAACAAGGGAAGCTTTTATTCTATTATATTTTTATGAGTCACTTTAAAATGTGGGAGGCTGCAGACAAATAATAGAGGACACAGCAGTATCACCCTGCAGTAAAAAGGAAGAAATCCAGTTCAAAGTGTGGGTCATTTGTATTCTATTTTTGTTTCCATAAATGAAAAAAATGTTTATGCAAATATGTATACATAAATATATATTTCCATATACACTATATATGTAATATATGCACCATATATACTACATATGTAATATGTTATATATTATATATGATATATATATGTGCGTATATATGCACACACAGGATTTTTAGGCTGAAACTATTAACGGCTAATATAACACTAAAACATCCTTCTGTGTCCTTACTGGTTTCAGTGCTGCTAGTCTTCTACCTCAAATTTCTAAAATGTGTCACTTTATCTCCCAGCAGTGTGCGCTGATGATGCTGAACTGAGACCAGCCATCAGGTTGGGCTGGATGCTTAGGACCAACAGAGTTTATTAAAAATATACCTCCCAGCCTCTGCCACTCATTCTGATTTAATAAGGCTTGATAACTTTGAAAATATTTTGCACAAGCAATATATTTTCTGGGAGGTCCTGGGCTTTTGAAGACATTTTTTGTTTTTATTTTTATTGTTGAATAAGTGCTTGACAGGCATAAAAGTCTTGGGCCAAATTCTCCTTGTCTTAAGAGTCTGAGTGTTGCCCATTGTCATTTATATCTACTATCACATCATGTTGTCTTTGTGGCATTCATGGTGACCCTCTCCCCACCCTGACACTTTGTTTTTTAATTTATGTTAATACTTAAAATTTGAAGAAAAGACTCTCAACATGAGTTTCTAAGAGCTGGTCATTCATTTTGGCTCTTACTCTCCAGTCCTTTTTTTCTTTCTAGAAAGTTCTTTTCGATTATGTCCCGCCCATTACTTAGGATCTACAGGTTGTTTGTACTTCCTTTTGGAACATGTTTTATTCATAAGTTGGATTTCTGTGATCTCCCCTCCATTTCCATTTTCTTAGATTTCATTCTTTTTTCTCCCTTTTCCTTATGTTCTCTGTGTTCTGGGATTATTTCTCAGGTTTGTTCTCTGCAGCGTTCGGCTGCGTTAAGTGAACCTTTCATCAGTTCTGTTAGGACTGTGTTTTGGCTCCTGGGCCTTCAGTTCATCAACATCCCCTCTCATCTCTGCACTTTCTGGTTTAATAAAAGTAATATAAATATCATTTGGCATAGAAAGCCAGCGTCTTCTGAGAAAATCTTCTGTTCATGAAGGTAAATCCTTTTTAGATGAGAAATTTCCCTTTTGAGCTATTATCCCTTTCTCCCTCTTGTGCAATGGGATTTTTTTTTTCTCCCCCTCCTGGGCTTTGCATTAGTCCTTCCTTGTCCCCTAATGCTTGAACAGGGCGAAATCTAACTGGGCCCAAAGTGGAGCCATAGAGTGGAAAACTTCGCATCTGTCTCCTTTCCTTGATTCATCGCAGTGACTCCCCCAGCCTCTTCCCACTGCTTCCTGCCTCACCTACGGGGGCAGAATAAAGTCTCACCCATCAGCCAAGAGCTACCTGTCAACAATTTAGCCCACCTTGGGCTTAGCACTGCACTTGGCATGTGGGGGCGCTCGACAAAATGCTTTCGGAAAATCTGTACAAGAAAATCCCCTTAGCAAAAGGTGTGATATTGAAACTCTCTCAAAGCTGTGATCATCAGCATTTTGTCAGTAATTCTCTTACATGATGGCCAAGCATGAAAGCCTCATGAGTGACTCAGAATGTTTTTGACTCATGAATTTGATTTCAACAGAAATATATTTTACCCCAGGCTATTAAAACACAACAATAATTTATATTTTCTCTAATCCTGGATGGTATCTTCCTTCCTGGTACCCGTCCCTCTTCTGGTGTCTAGAAATGCTGGCTCTTGGTTTCCATTCAGCAGAGGTTGCCAATTTAGAAAGGACAGGCGTTTATCTTGATGCTTAGTAAAAGCGGAAATATATATGTTGTGGATCCTGAAGCTATGAGGTGTGAGATCTTACCAATTTGACTTTTTTTTTTTTTTTTTTTTGATTGGGAGAGAAATCGAGAACTTCTCTAGAAAATGGATCACACTGTGGCCTTTACTCTTCATTTTATCAGGTGAAGAAGATAAAGTTTAAAAAAAAAAGCAAAGACATCAGGTTATCTGATTTGTTTGTAATCTGCTCTTAGCATAAAGGTTACCTGGCCCCATTCCCAGTGTTTTTCAGAGACAAAATCCTCTCAAAAGAGTAGGCAACTTAGAAACAGCGCTTTAAATCTGAGATGAGCAAAGGAGAAGCCTCATTTAACGGGGCTTTCCCCACCGGACCTTCCTCTACCGTGGCTCAAAACAGGCCTCCTTTAATGAGAAAGTTTACCAGCAGGGATTAAACCAGTCAAGAATCAGAATGAAGGACTATGACCAAGGTAGGGGATGGTTTAATCGTATGTAAGAACTTCAGATCCCTTCAACCCTGGCAGCTGTAGATCAAACGGCTGAGTGTGAACATTAAAACAACGCAGTGAGAATAATGTGTCTCTATTTCATTTCTCTTTCCAGGTTTGAGATTTTTAAGAGCTCTCAGACTGATACAGTTTTCAGAAATTTTGCAGTTTCTGAATATCCTTAAAACAAGGTAAGATGTCCTTATTCACATTTTTTTTCCCTCGTTCTGGCCCCCCACACCAGTTTGTACATATCAGGAGTTTTTGTTTTCATCACCGCAAGCTGAGAGTTCTGTTAGTCTCAGAAAGAGTGATCTCACACAGAGGTCTGGAGAAGGCACAGAGTAGGGCTCGGGTTGCTCTCTTCTGCAGGGCTGGGGACTGTCCGGTGAACAGAGAAACAGCTGTGCATGTGGGGAAGGAGACTGTTTTGGGGGGCTGTGTGGGTTGCTTGGAAATAGGCCACAGCATCCTGGAGAGACGATGCCCAGTGGATGAGAGATCGAGCAACTCATTGATTGGGAAGTCCTTGCTCGCGGGTTCTAAATCGCCCCTTTATTACATCACTAAATAAGAGATTGAACCTGAACGTAAAAGCAATGGAAGCAGTGCTCTTTGAGAGGCAATCACAAGCCTCATACGGCAAACAGAAAATCATTTCATTTCAAAGTACATTTTAGATGTTCACTTTATAGCCACGGTAGTCCCTGGGGCTCGCTCTGTGAATTGCCTTTTGGGGAATACCTAAAAACCTCCCGCCGAATGTACCATGACTACTTCTGTTAACTGTGTTATGATCTGGAAAACACTACTGGACCAGGAGGAAAAAATTCCCCAGAGACCCCTTTCCAGATGACCTGCGGGTTTGCAGAGCTGGCCCGAAACCAGGCTGCCTTGATGAATAAACTAATAAAAGAGGTTAGACGTCCTCTAATGGAGAATAAGTATAGGCCATAAATTTCTCTTGTAGGAAATTACACTTTAAGAAGCTCACTGCTAATGTTCCATTTCCTCTGAGGTTGACGTGTTTGATAAATGATTAAAAACAGGACACTTCTGGATTTTGTGATTTATAATTAATACACCTGCATTTCGGGGGCCTTGGAGTCAGCATTGTTTTCCCAGTCCCCGAGAGGCTGGGACTCAGCCTCCCGAACCTGTCACTGCCAACACATGCGACAGGCTTTTGGCCTCCATCTTTGGGGTTTGCATGTTTTATTTGTTTTTTTTTGTTTGTTTTGTTTTGCCTTTTTTTTTTTTTTTTTAATTCCACACTGGTGTCTTCTCACCAACTCTTCATGCACATGTGGGGTAAATCCACTTCCTGTTATCCAAGGTAAAAAGCAAACGAGCGTCTACCGCAATAGAAGTCCTCTCTAGTGGGTCCCCACCGCCTTGCACTTATATTACCCTGGGGTGAGCGTTTATTGATGTTCCATTTAATAGTATGTAGAATGCCTAAAATAGAGTGAATAGTGTTACTTTTTGTATTTCTTCTGAGTGACAGTAACCTTTTTTGGTTCCTTCTCCTTTTTTATGGGTCTTGGGGGCAATGGGCTCTACTCCTGAAATTAGGAGCATGGATAAGCTAGTGACCCTCCATGCTTACCTATGTCACAACTGCCCTGCTAAACTATATTTTTTAGGGTAGAACCGGTGTGTACCCAGGGCCACGCGCAGGAAATGTACTTAAGAGACACTTGTTTTTTCTGGTGGGGAAGGTGCTACGTGGAGTTAACCACATTCTCGAACATGCTGTAATGCCCCTCGTTGTGTGTACACCATAAATTCGGGGGCTTTTAATTCTCTGACACCAGTGTTTTAAGAATGTGCCGTGACTCCAAGGAATAACGTGGAAAGAAAACTGTGTTCTCGTTTTTCTTGCATTCCGTATGGATTGTTTTTGGACTTGGGAAGACTGTAAGGCAGGGGAATAAAATAACTTTCCCTGGACTTTTGTGAAGAGACCCATCAACTTCCCATTCCTTGGAGAAGATTCCTCTCCTTTAGGGGCAGGAACTAGCACCGACATCCCGACCTATAACCCCACAGTTAGGCTGTTTCATTCTCCCAGAGCACAGGGGAGAGAGCCGAAGCAGCCAGCTAGGGTTGGGGGTATAGCGGTCTTAGGGAGGAGTCCCAGAGTGACAGGCTGCTGGGGGTCTGCTCTCTGGGGGTCCAAACAGCCTTTCCCCAGCACCCTACTTCCCACTAGTTCAACTCTTTCTATGGTAGAGGGGGTTTTGAGCATAACCCCACAACCTGGACTGTGTCGGTTCCTGTTGCGTGTGTGGGTGACTGAGTTAATTCAACAAGCCTGAATTGAGCGTCCATTTGTACCAGCAGCCAGGCGGGGGCCAGGGTAGCGTCCTGCTCTCAGACAGTACAAGGGGAGGGAGACCCAGCAAGACCTGTGGTGGGTTGGTGCTGGGACACAAGTATATCAGGGTGGGGGGGTGTGTGGCGGTGCAGTACAGAGGAGAGGAATGACATCAGTGTGGGGTGGTCAAGGCTCTTCTTAAGGAAAAGGGATTGTCTTAGGTGAGCTTCTGAGTGTTATCCAAGTAGGGCTGGGCTTGGGCAGGTGAGGGCCAGAAACCTCCAATCACTGAAGTGACAAAAGCACACAGGTGAGAGGAATGGCTCCTTGGGGGCTCTTTGAGTAATCTTGCGCTCTTGGATACTCGGGGCTTTGTGCCAGGAAAACAAAGATGACATTAGGAAGGCAGGTGAGGGCCAGGTCCCAGGCCCCCAAGGAAACTTGACTTAATTGTAAGGACTTAAAATAAAACTTAAAAAGTTCTTAATTGTAAGAAATGTGACTTAATTGTAGAGGCTTTAGACCAACTCTGTGAGCCCATTCTCTCTTTGGATGCCTGGCTAATCTCAGCTTCTTCCCTCTGTGGACCCCTGAGCCCAGATCCTGGAGGCTCTGATGCTGAGAAGAGGAAGCCTTGGTTTTTATAGGGCTTTGGACTCAGAGCTTATTTCCTGGTGACTCCTCTGTACTCTGCTATGTTCACGGTGACCTTTCAGGAGCGTGGGTACAGCCCTGGAATCGCCTTTAGGGGGATTTTGTCTGGCTTTCTTGGGTGGCCCCCCCCCGCACCGATCTGTGGCATTAGGTAGGGATAGAGACGTTGCAAATGTGATTTGAAATAATGGCTTGAAATTGCAGTTTCATTTTCTGTCCTTTGGCTGCCTTGCTTGGCAAAGAGCTGGAAGAAACAGAGCAAAGAAGTATATGAGGGAGAGAGAGAGAACTAACTGGGCAGCAAAGGAAACCAGAGTGAACAGGATGACAGAGAAAACACAGATGAAAGCAACAAGTCACAGTGATGGGACAGCATCAGGGCCATTCTTTAAACTGCCAGCTAATGGGGCGGCGGTGGGGTGTAGTGGCTACCTTGCTCCATGTCTGGAAAATGGCCTATTGAAGGGAACAGAGTTCCCTCCATGTCATTGCCCAAGTTTTTGGCGGTGCATCAGTGGCCCTGCACCCTGGCAAGCAGACTCACCGAGGAGAGGGCGTGTAATTATTCTGCACCAGAGCAAAATAAGGAGCTCGGTTTTAAAGGCTGTCATTCCACATCTCATTTGATGTGTATATGTTGATGATGAAAACATGGGTCATCCAACAATTTGTTTCAAATGACAATGGCCTTACTAATTATTAAAGTAGACCGTGCTCGGGCCGCCTGGGTGGCTCAGTCGGTTAAACATCCAACTCTTGATTTCAGCTCAGATCATGATCTCAGGGTTGTGAGATTGAGCCCTGTGGGAATGACCCCGTCCCCAGGCTCTACACTGGGTGGGGACCCTGCTTGGGACCCCCCCTCCCCGCCCCCTGTCCCTCCCCCTCCTGTGCTCTCTGATAAGATATAGAAAAGCATAAAGGATAAAGTGTAACTTCCCCATCCCCACCTGTGGTTGAGACAAACATTACGAGCATTCTCCCATGTCACTTTTATTTCCCTCAGACTATTCTATGGTGCGTGTGCACCGTCGTTGACCTAACCCACACGTTTTGGGGGGGGCATTTGGAGAACTAAAATGGTACTACAAATATGACCTTGGAAACGGCTCCAAGGTTAAGTTCTTTAAAAAGAGTGTTCATTATGGAGATGGGTTCATTATGGAGGGGTTGTCCAGGTGGAGGCCATACCGTGAAGGCTCCTGGGCTTCTCAGATTTAACTCGGACAGTGAGAGGGGACCACTGAAGGGTTTAAGTAGGACAGGAATGTGGTCAGACTTACGTTTTAGAAAGATCGACTAGTCCATCAATTGTATGATGGGTTTGAGGCATCTAAAACTGGAGACCATTAGTCTCAGTGGGGCAGTTTTCCAGGCACGTGGTAGCAGGAAATGGCCCTGAGCAGTGCAGGTCGGGGTGGAGAGCGGGAAGAGGGGTGGAGAGGTATGTAAGGGACAGAATGGACGGAACTTGATTTTGCTTGTAGTTCAGCCCAGTCATCTCAGTGTGGTCTCATGAGTTGACTTCTCAGGGGTGGATACCTTGCATCTGTCCAGCAGAGGCAACAATAAAACAAAATAAAGCCACTGACACCTGGCTGTGCACTCAGCCACAAAGGAGGAAAATAGTGGACAAGCCGAGCAGGGACAGATTTGCCCTGTTTTGTAGAAAGTGAATGACATTTTTCAGTGTTAACCAAAACATGTCTTCATAAATACAGTGAGGGCAAAGATGGTGCACGCTACCTCTGGGTTTGTAGCTATGCTTTCAGAAAGAGACAGACTTTCTCTCTTCCAGCATGTGCGTGGTCCTGGAAAGATCTCCGATCTGCAGGAACAGAAAGATATCTGTGCCTGCCCTTGGAGCATTCGCTCTGGATAGAGTGTTCATGTAAATTTTTCTAATGACTATTGAGAACTCATGAGTTGGGGACCCAGAAATGATAACAGACAACATGAAAATGATTTTCTTTTTTCTTTTTTTAAAATTTAATTTAATTTTTTTCAGTGTTCCAAAATTCATTGTTTATGGACCGCACCCAGTGCTCCATGCAGTACGTGCCCTCCTTAATACCCACCACCAGGCTCACCCAACGCACTACGGCCCTCCCCTCCAAAACCCTCAGTTTGTTTCTCAGAATCCACAGTCTCTCATGGTTTGTCTCTCCCTCCGATTTTCCCCAACTCACTTCTCCTTTAGATGAGTTAAGTTTTCAT